TGCAATTGCGTCCACTTGCGTCCACAGCTTATTACACCAAAAGGTCCTAGTGTGAGTACGCCCTCAGGTATCATTCATTACTCGTCCGTTTGGAGGACCCGGAAGATTCATCGGTTTTTCCTGTCATAAAAAAGTTACCGCTGCTAACAGAAACTTTAACAGAAAGTTCACAAGAAACTTACTGCTGCTCACAGAAAGTTCACAAGATAGTCCTCCCTTCGGGAAATCGGTTCAAATTGGAACAATAGAGAGATTAGATTAGATTAGAATAGAATCGAATAGAATAGAATGGCCCCTGCACATCGGAGGGTGACACGCTCGCAGAAATCGAGAAAGTTCCCACGAGATGAAATCACAAGGTGCACGAGTTCCTTTTCGGACTGATATCGTGGACGTAATAGCCGTCTGATACATCCATGATCGTCCGTATCTGCGGTCAGATACATCCAGGAAATTCCTCGTTTGAGGATATCCGAGCATGTGGTCCGCTGAATTGAACGTACGGTCATTATAGCTGTTTTGATTCCCCCCCCCCCCCGCCCCCCACCTTCTCTGTCTATATTTCTATGGTTATAGCTGTATTTGGTAGCGACAAAGCCCCAAGAGCGCAAATGCAGGCGCAAATCGTCCTTCGGCACATCCGTTAATTTTTTTTTTTGTTTTTACTGTTTTTGTTTTTTCTTTTTTTTTAACTAATCCATATTATCCTCTCACTCTATCTATGTACATTATTCCGCATCTATCTCATCTAGTATCTCATCCTCTCGCTACTCTATTGGAACGAGACAGAGAAGATCTTTTTTTCTTATAATTATTTATTTATTTTCACACAAGTAGCCACATGTCATATTCCAAATGTAAAGAGACAGAGAAGATTAGCGTGGCCCCTGCGCGAGCATGACACGCATAAATCGAGAAATGGTATTTGGGGCAAATCGATACAGCGATAATGACCGTGCGTTCTATTCGGGGGAAGACGATAACTGTCCCACATCTTCAATGATTTCATTGTTCTGGGAAAAAGAGTCTACGCCTATATAGACGTACAGGGGTCCCCAGTACAGAGGCTTAGGGCGTACTCACACTAGCTGTATCTCAAATGTATCCGACCGCATTATTTATTGCCGGACATGGATGCATCTGACCGCAATTACATCCATAAATCAGTAAAAAGGTCCTAAGTGTGAGTACGCCCTTAGAAGGTACTCGAAGAGTATCGAAGAGTATAAAAGGTGCATTTGAGAGGAGCGCGCTGCACAGTTCCCGAGAAAAAAAAACGCAAGCGCTGCACATATATTGACATGTGTACGCGTCTATTCATGGCATGGAGGTATAAAATATATATATATATATATCGTCAAACAGAGCTGCCCGGTGAATCGTAGGCAGAGAGGGAGGGAGAAGAGGACAACAAACGAGGGGTTGTGACAAACTGTTTCGTCGGAGTTTCACCGACTCATCAGTATATATATACATACGGGCATGTGGGACAAGACGAATAGGAGAACATCCTTCGAGACATCAGTTAAAATTGGAACGATGCACAGACGAGAAGATTAGTATGGATGGCCCTTGGGCAACGATGACACTCCAAAATCGAGAAACATTTCGAAAAGAAGAAAACAAGTGAAACCTGATTTGATTTAACGCCTACTAAAACAGTCGATGCATGTGAGCGCTGCTGCTTGAATGAACATGCGTGACGCTTTTCGCGGCTGGAAAACGATGTTTCATTGACGCTTCCGCATTACATCGGGAATCATCAGAAGAATTAATCGGGTTGTAAGCGATTACGAGAGTGGAAGAGGGGCGGGGAAGGGCGGGGGGAGCGGAGGAAGGAGGGAAGGCGAGGGGAGCGGAGGAAGGGGGGAAGGGGAGAAGGAGGACGCGGGGAAGGGGGACAGGGTGGGAAGAATAACAGCACGAAATGGCAGAGTAAACGGAGGGTAACGGAAGGGTTAACAGGACGGTCATGGAAGGACAGTTAACGAAAGGGTAATACAGTAAAAGGGTGACAAACAGAAGGGTGATAAATAGAAAAAGGAATCATAAACGTGGCTGGGGAGGGGGAAGAATAAGAGCACTAAACAGCAGAGTAAAACGAGGGTAACAGGGGGTAACCCGAAGGGTAATTGAAGGGGGGCAGTTAACACAAGGGTTGTAAAGAAGAAAGGAATCATAAGCGTGGGTGGGGAGGGGGAAGAATAACAGCACCAAACAGCAGAGCAAAAGGGGGCGGAGGGGGAAGAATAACAGCACCAAACAGCAGAGTAAAAGGGGGGGAACAGAAGGGTAATGGAAGTGCAGTTAACGGAAGGGTAATAGCGTCGAAGGGTGATAAACAGAAGGGTAGTAATTACAAAGGAAAAGGAGGCAACGGCAGGGTGACGGAGGGTGACGGAGCGTACCGGCAGGGGTAATAACAGAGTAACAGCAGGGCAACAACAGGCGAAGTAAGAAAAAAAACAAATATATTAAAATAATAATAATAATAATAATTCCACGTAGCCGCGCGAGACATTGATTTCCAAAAAAAAAAAAAAAAAAAAAAAAAAAAAAAAAAGTCATTGATTTCCCGCCCAAATGGTTGGGATCTGCCGTCAAGGAAAAATCCTGAACCGGCATACTCACACTAAAACCTCTTCAACTTCGCAATTAATGGGGGTAATTGGGGTAAGGTGCTTTTCCCCCCCCCTCTCTTCCCTCTCTTCCCCTCCCTACCTTTCCCTCCTTTTTCTTTTTTTTTCTTTTTTTTAACGCGATCGTTCGCCGCTTGTTTTCGGTTGCCAAACCATCTCCGTCTCCGCCCGCACATCTTATAGCATACTCACACTAGCACAATCTGACCGTAATTAGGGCCCCTACTTGGATGTACCTGACCGCAAATACGTCCAGAAAAAAAAAAAAAAAAAAAAAAAACCTCCGCCGAGTCTCCCCTTACAAGAAGAGGCTGCGTGGTAAAAAGGAGGAGGTTGAGTATATAACAGTGAGCGTATATAACCGTGAGCGTATCGGTCTGGCAATGAGAAGTAGTCTAGAGACTACTACGGGCCTGGCTCCACTACTCAGCACATGCACAAAAGACAAAAAAAATAGTGGTGTACCTTTCCATGTTCTAGCGGAATGTTCATTCTGATTTTTGCACATTTGGTCAGTAGTGGAGCGAGGCCCTATTACCAGCATCAACCATTCTTCATCGCGCTCATGATGGTTAATATGAAAACACTTAGAATGATATTTGCCGACCATTTCCTTTCTCTGACGACCAAAAATTTCTCTCTATCTGATGACGCCAAAAATCATCAATGAAGATCAATACGTGACCATGACAATGATGTTGATGATTCCATAATTATGACATGATGATGATGATGATGATGATTGTAAATGATTATATGATAGGATAATGATGATGGTAATGATGATGATGATGATGATGATGATGATGATGATGATGATGGGACTATGTAGCCTTCGGTGCCATCCACTTTCATGGAACACAAGTCACCCACCCACGTAGAGTTAAGTTCTTCTCGAAGATAGAACTTCGTTTGTATTCCTACCCATCGGTTTTGTTTTTCGTTCCCTTCCTCTTTTTTTCCCTTTTTTTTTCCTTTTTTTTTTGAATTTTTTGCTCCTTTCTTATTTCATTACACACTCATTTATTTGCTTTTTTTTTTTTTTCTCTCTTTGAATTTTTGGTTTCTTTCATATTTCATTACACACTCATTTATTTGCTTTTTTTTTTTTTTTTTTTTGCTAGATTTATTTGCTTTTTACCTATCTTGACTGCGGACTACGGCGATCGCCGCACCACTTGGCAAAGGCCAACATTTTGAATGTCTCGGGGCCACGGCCCTGTCCACACACATTCGTTGGCGTTCGGCGAGAGGCGCTACTACTACTCTTCTATTACTTCTCTTTTTATCGAGTAATTTTGTTTTTCTTTTTTTCATTAAATTTCATTTATTTCTTCGTCAATAATTAATTAATAAATTAATTATCTATTTTATTTTATTTTACTTGCATTTACACCCCNCCCTTTTTTTTCGAAAAGAAATGTCATTTTGCTATCTTACCCCCCAAAAAGATGGAAATTGCTGCTGTGCTCGGGACAAAACCCAAATTGTCATTGTAGCCAAATCGGGATGTCCCGATCGTTGCAACCCTCGTTCGGGGTGCCAAATTGTGTGTATGGTGAATTGTTTTTTTTTTTTTTTTTTTTTTTTTTTTTTGGGCCCGCCCCCCCCCCCCCCGCCGCTCACTCCACTTGTTAAAATTCCTTTCACTCCTTCCCCTCTGCTTTCCCTTTCGAGCCCTCGGTTTTCTCCTCCTTCCCCCTGGGAATCAATCACCACCACCATACCGCGAGTGAGTTACGTCGTGTTTGGGGGACTGGACCGTTTCTGGTGGATGACCACCGCAGCGAGAATTCTTTCTTCATATTGGGAAAGCCTACCAAATAGCTTTGTCCGCCTGCAGTGTGTTAATATATATATTCTGCCTAAGTACTACTGCTACTATATTTAGAACAGAATGTTCTGGCGCCAAATGGCAGGCGGGAAGGCGCCGGGGAGTCGAACAGTCCGTCGCCCAGCGTGCGCCCGCCAAGCCGAGAACAAAGCCAAATCCTTCCCCCCTCCACTCAGAGGCCGTCGTCGCCCATCTGTCGCTGCTTCTGCTGCTGCCGCACGATCCTGCAGATTGAAGACAGGGAGCGAGGTAGGAGGGCAAATCGGCGGGAGTGCTTCGTTCGCCATGAAAGTTCCGTGAAGCATCACATCATGGGAGATCGCTGCTGCAGCCGCTTGATCCCACCTGCAATGGAGGCGGGAGTTTTTCATAAGAGGGGAGCCCAGCAGAAGATGCGCGGGAAAAAGGATTCGTTTCAGCTGCTGCTGCCGCTCGAGCTCTTCTTCTTCTCGTTGGAGCCTAGAGATCGCTGCTGCAGCCGTGAGGTGGAACGCGTGGTGAGACGTTCTCCGAGCCCCAAGCGGAACCCACAATCTCTGGGAGTCCGTACACGAGGGGGGGGAGAGGAAGAAGACAATTTGCTAGAGAGAGAGAGGAAGATACTACTTTTCTGGAGGGAAAGGAGACTTGGGTGGGTGCAAAGAGAGAGAGACAGAGGAAGAGACCTCGGTGGGTGCAGAAAGAGAGAGAGACAGAGGAAAAGGCTTTGGTGGGTGCACAGAGAAAGAAAGGTAGAGACTTTGGTGGGTGCGCAGAGAGAGAGAGGTAGAGACTTTGGTGGGTGCACAGAGAGAAAGAGAGAGAGAGAGAGAGAGGAAGAGGGAGGTACTTTGGTGGTCCTCCTGGCCGCGGGCGAGGATGACAACCATCCCCATAGAGGGAGGAGCACCGGAGATCGCTGGAGAAGAAGATGCTGCACCCGCTCAGACGGGTGCTGACGACGATGAGTTCGATTACGCGTTCAAGAGTGAGGCGCGGACGGCTCCATACGCAGACAAGAAGGTGGAGGGTGGTAAAAAACCAGCGAGGCCGACTCAGCAGCAGGTGATACCCATTGTTGTGCAAAGAGCAGTGCTGGGCAGCGTGAGTGAGGAAGTGCTAGTGGAAGAAGAGGAGGAGCGGAGAGGGGAGGGGGAGGGGGAGGGAGGAAGCGGAGGTGAAGTACTTGCAGAAAGGGGTGGGAAAAACGCAAAGAAGGTGGCACGTACAGAAAAGGCCGCAAAGAAGACTGGAAAGAAGGATGCAAGCAGAGAAAAGACTGGCAAGCCTCCCAAAGGAAAGAAGAAGAAACATAAGCAGAAATCTCCTTCCAACGATGAGAAGAAGGCGGTGGAAGTCGATGGCGGCAAAAAGCGAATTACAGCAGCAACTAATGGAGTCAACTCCTCCTCCTCCTCGTCATCATCATCATCATCGAGGGCTGGCCACGTGGCGGAAGGAGATGCGTCGATTCAAGATAAGGAGGAAGCAGAGCGGATCGCTCACGCGAGGGAATGGGACGCGGTTATGCGCGAGGCTGCGTCAGCCAAGATCTCGACGACAGGGCAGACCGTTATCATCTCGCCGTTAGAGACCGTTACGACTGCGTCTGACAGCCGGGAGATTCTGTCCAAGCTGGTGGTCTGGAAGCAAGCCCTCGGCTACTTGGCCATGCTAGATCTGTCCTCTTACATGTCCTCTATCGTTGTCGAATCGAGACCGCCTCCACGTGGCATGTTCGGGTTTCTTTGGCGCTTCTGCCTCGGGGTTCAGACCCTGATGGACGAAGGGCTGATCGAGGAGCGCAAGAAGGTTTTCTGTTTTGCGAAAATGCCCTTCATAGATACGGACGAGATGCACCGCAGGATGCTGTTCAGTGTTTACGTCAGACTGACAGGAGATGTCAGGCCTGTGTCCCGACGCGGGGACCACTGGGAAACCATCGGATTTCAAGGCAAAGACCCTGCTACAGATCTGAGGGGGTGCGGAATGCTGGCGCTGCTTCAGCTGCTTTACGAAGTCGAAGACAACGCAGAGAACATGGGGTGCATATATAGGCTGTCGCTAGATGGAACGCACGGGTTCCCGCTCAGCATCATATCTATCAACATCACCAAGTGGGCGTTGGAGTCACTGCGCGCCGGAACCTTATCCAAAGAGATTAATAAGCAGAACAGCGTGGTGAATGTGATCAATCAGTTCCACAAAGGAGCTTTCCATGACTTCTATAACAGATGGAAAAACGGCGGGATGACAATGCTGCAATCCGGTTATCTTTTGAAGGAGGTGGAAGAAGCTTCAATGAAACGACCGTCAGCAACTCTTGGCAGAGCGTCAACGGTGTTGAAGGACTGGGTGCCACGTGGAAGCCGCTCAGTTGCAGTCGAGTCTGCGAGAGGTTGATTGATTGATTGATTGATTGATTACTTTTGATGAATCATCAAAGACGTAAGGACACCGATCGACGCTGTCTATCCGCTAGCGGATGGAGCCGTTTCCACGTGGCAATCCGCTACCGCCTTCACCTGAATAGAACGCCCGGTCATGATCGCTGTGCATCTAGACAGGAAAGTGGCCCAAATGCACGAACAATGACCGGGCGTTGTATTCGGGTGAAGACAGTAGCACTGCATCCGTGAGGCCTTGATAATTGTTATTATTATTATTATTATTAACTCTAATAATACTAATAACAATTGACACAACACTCTGCTTGGGTTCCTAAGCCGAACGATAGCAAAACAACAACACGTCGAAGGGTAGCGAAACAACAACAAGAGCAGATGAGTAGATTTCCCATGAACCCAGTCATAGCTTCGTCCTGAGTTTGATAAGCCCACACCACACTTGCAGCGAAGTCTAGTGCGAGAGGGGTGGGTTTATTACTGCAACGTCAATGGATTATCAGCAAAACATTCAGCTTGAACGAGTTTGTAGCCACACGGAAGCACACTCGCAGTGGCGTCGGTGTCAAGGGGCTGATCATTAATACCACACTAACTTGCCACAACAATTAACGTCGAAGACGAGTGGGTTGCCACGTGGAAGCCCGCTTGCAGTGGAGTCAGAGAGAGGGATTGAGTACTGACACTAGTCACAATACAGTAATCGACACAACAATCAGCTTGTCAAGTGCTTCTTCGACAAGCGCTTTTCACATCACGTGCTTGCTTGTGAGGACAGCAAGACTTGCGCGTCGTGTACAAGGCCCCCATACGCCTCTTCAGCGCTCGAGGGGACGTGCGGGACCGGGAAATCGCAATCAACACGCGGAACGGGAAAACGGAGAAACGGAGGGAAATGTGAAATGGAACAGGACCGGTGATGGGAAAATCTGAAACACGGACAGAATCGGCAACAGGGAATTGAAACTGGAAATGAAGCAAGGGTGGGACGGGAGGATGGAAAGTCAACCTCGAACCAGGAACAGGAACAGGAACAACAACGAGGAACAGGAACAGGAACATGTACAGGGAACAGGAACAGGAACAGGAACAGCAGCAAGGAACAGGAACATGTACAGGGACCAGGAACAGGAACAAAGACCGTAAACGGGAATGGGATCGGAGCAGTGAATAATGGGAACTGGGACATGGATGCAGTGGCAGCAGGTCTATCTGGAGCTGGAACTGGAACTGGAACTGGGACTAGGAATGGTTCCAGGCGATCTGTCATTTTTCCGGCACAACGGTTACCCACCCTTGGATAAGTGGAACAGACGTAGGTGTTGTAGATATGTAAAGATGAGGGGGTGAGCATTTTACTGCTGTCGTCTCCCCGCCTTCCTACCATTCGACACGTGGAATAGCAGAAATGCGTTATGGATTACTTTGACATTAGCGATCTTCGACGCTTGCGCCTTTAGCCCAGGGTCATGGAGCTAGTCAGTTTTCGTCAAAGAGAGTCGGTAGAGATCTGTCCAATCACACAGGAACTGCTCACTTTGGCACGGAACCAGAAGGTGGAGGAGAGGTAAGAGCGATTTCTTCTTTTCCCAATGCCTTGTCGATCTCATAGAACTGTTTCAATGGGGAACACACAATACACACACACACACACACACACAAAGAGATATCTTCGACAGACTGTTGAGGTTCAACCTTCTGATGAGTCGGTGAAAGTCCGACGAAACGGTGTGTCACATCCATGCTTTCCTTGTGCAGTTGTCTTCAGCGAATATAACAACACACACAGACAGAGACTAGTTGTCTCAGACCTACTGCCATTCTTGTCAGGAGTTTGGACCGACAGTATGCTAGGATTGCAAGGTTGGTGTAAGTAAAGACGATCAGTCTTCTGAGGGATGTCGCGAACTCTAGACAACGCGCTGAAGTCCTTATCAATCAGTCAAATGCAGTTTGGGCAGACCGTCGGTTCAACCTCCTGATGAGTCGATGAAATCCTGATGAGTCGATGAAAGTCTGACGAAGCCGTCGGGCACAGTCATGCTTTTTTGTGGACTTGTGTATAGCGAACAAGACAACAGAAAACACGTGAGAAAGTGCCAGCATGCACAATTCTCTCTCTCTCTCTCTCTCTCTCTCTCTCTCTCTCTCTCTCTCTCTCTCTCTCTCTCTCTCTCTCTCT